CCCTGGCCAATTGCCTGCACTGTGTATGTCAAGCTGTAACATCAGACACTGGGACATCCTCACAGAAGCTGCTTACCCACTCCATGACCGAGTAAGGTAGAATCCCTTTATGGGTATATGTGAGTATCTCCTAGAGGTTGTGCCTCTCAGATTCGGGACCTTAACACACAGGGCAGTAGATTCTCCTTTTGTTACCCCAAGGAGAAACAACTTAAAATATGCTTCAAAAGTATTATTATTCAGTTTGAGTGAGGTTGTTTCGATTGTCTTTGTCATTTTCTCAAGCCAGGAACAGTAGGGGCACTGTGAGCTGGATCAGGAGTAAATAGTCGTCTCCATACCCACATGCAGTACCCCATGCAAATGATGTGGGTCTGTGAATCCTGACATGTTGAACAGTTAACATAAATAGCACATTCTAACAGAATGTGATAACTGCCTGTTTTCCTTCTAAGAGGTGTCTGCTAGACTGAGCTCCTTAACAGCAGAGACCTTGTCTGTTTTCTTCACTGTTTGATCCCATACCCCAGGCGTGCAGGGGAGGCACTCAAGAAATGCTGGTGGAACTGTAACTCCCACGAGAATCCTAAGTGTTCAACCTCTGGAATTTCCTTGATCAAAGTTCCCTCCTTGTCTGTTTGGAGAATTACTTAGCCCTTAAAACTAAGCTCAGGCATTGTCTCCTTTAGGAAAGTGTTCTTGGTAAGCTATTTTCAACACTTTCATTATTTTACAATGAAATATTTCTCCATCCGCTTCACCAGATTGTGAACTTGAAGGGCAGATATTTCATTTGGGTCACTTCTGTATCTCTAGCATAATACACACCACTGGGCAAGGTAGATATGATAAATTTTTCAATTGAACATGACCATTTCCAGAGTTTATCCAAGTCCATAGGACTAACCTAGCTTTAAAAAAAAAGGGCAAGCTCTACATGGGCTATCTTTGGTATGCTTATATCTTTCAGAGAAATTTGGAACTTCTAATATTTGTTACCAGGGTCACAGCCAACAATGTTAAGTTCATTTCCCTCTTGGTGTATGCAAAACTGCAGAATTGTTCCTTTTGTTGTTCTATGCTCAGTAGTCACAGATTCAAACGCCTTCAGGGGTCAGCTAGGTTAACAGGCTGAGGGTCAAAAAATGAGTGGTTACTGTGGCAAATACAGGAGCAAAGCCCATCTCAGGGCTACAGACAGTGGTGCCTGCTAAGAGCCAGGGTCTGTGCCCAGAGCTGGGAGTGACAGGGGCTGGCTGAGCTTTGCCTCACCCTCAATATGCATGGGCTCCCAGTGGGTTGCTCCAAAGAGCTGTAATGGCTGCATCTGCAGATTGCTCAAGGAGGGTATGACTTCAGATTGACTTTCACTTGGCATTTTCCCAACGTTCCCTTGGCACAGTTTAAGACAGAAAAAATGACCTACAAGTCAATAGCTTTTACTTTTTTCTTCCCCATGACCAAAGGTCAGGTACTCTGAAAGTCAAGGGGGTAGGTGACTGTGGTTGGTCTTATAAGAGTCATTATTTCCTTGCGTGCTCTGGAGTACAATTCCCCTTAAATACAGGAATGTACTTTGATTCTTTAAGAAAACCTGCTGTAATAAAACACACTATTATATAAAGAAACTAACAGTGCTTATTATGAATAACCAATTCTTTTAATTTGCCATCTTTTAAATTATAGTTATTAACAAATTTATGATAAAATTTCATTATTAAAAATTAGTACAAAATTTTAAAGAATTGATTCCATGCACTGTTTAACATAAGGAAACACCAGTGAGTTAGGAGGGGGCTCTTTAAAATGCCCACTTCCCCCACTCAGTTTCCCCAGTTTTCTGAGTGCCCCCCCCTTGTTTTCTTCTCTACTCCTGCCCCATCCCTGTTACTTTCCAGAAATTTCTAAGCTGACTTTGAGTACATCTTTTGTAGCTGTTAGTACCCGCATCTTGTTCTCTTCAACGTCACATTAAAAACTCTACTCTGTATGTCAACACAATGCCAATCTGTGACCCTGCCCCACAACCTTGGCTGAAGTCTCTCCTGGCCTCAGCGTGGTCACTTGCAGCTCGCATGCTCACTCCTGAGCTGAACAGCCTCTCTGCCTGTCTGGGGACTCTGCAGTCCAGGTGTCAGAGCATTGCTGTTGTTTCTGTCTGACTTTGTCTTCTCCGCCAAACCAGTTCTCTCCCTGGGGTTATTTGATACAGCAATTTGTTCATTATAACCTTTTTATCCTTTGCACATCTAACTGGTCCTGAAGTGTTGTGAATGACCATTTTTTGAAATAGTTTAACTTGGTATATGAATACTATGTAAAGGTACATAAAAGGTCGTTGCTTATTGAAATGGAGGAAGAAATTAAACTTCTAAAATTAATTGCTAAAATATTGTTTTATTGTTCAAAAAATGCTGAAGTTTTAGCATGCCATGTAGGCATACATTTTAACTTCTTTGAACCAAATAAGAAAAATTGCAACATGCTTTAGTGTAAAAATCAATTTATTGTACAATTATACAGAATGCTTTTTATCTACAAAGAAAAATGGCTTCTCCTGCTGCCCTGTCCACCCCAATCATGATATTATGTTCTTAAGATACAAGTACTTTCAAAGGAAAACCAAAAAAGTGGTATCTTTTTTTTTCAAATAAGGAAGCCCCCAGAAATATCATAAAATTATACGGAAATATTAGAATGGCTTCTTACATACAATGTGTTGGTCTGCCGATCCTTATCTCTCAATATGCCTAAAATAGTTCAATATATATATTCATGATGGGTTGAAAATTTAATTCCACTAAACATTCCATTTTGTTAAAAAAATTGGAGTTATTAATAGATATGCTTATAGCATTAAGGGTTTTTTATTCCCACGAGTAGGGAAATTTATTTGGGAAAAAAATTCCATTGTTTAGCAGATCATACTTTAGTTTAGGAAAATCACATTAAAAGTAAACATTGTTTTTTAAATTGGTAACACTTAATGACAGGTTAAAATATTTACCTGATTCAATTTTTGCGGCTAAGATTTCATAGCTGTTTTTTTTTTACCAGTCTTTGAATGTTTAAGGTTTTAAGTGTTTTATTAAACTTTACTCGAATTAAAGACCAAACTGGAAATAAGACTCCTGAAACCTTGAACTAAATTGGGCTTGTAAGTATAAACAAGCCAAGTTTTTCCCTTTGATCAGAGAAGCTTCAAGCTGCCTTGTACACACAGCTGTTTGTCCCTTGATTCTACTGACGGGTGGCTTCCCTCCTTGCTCTGCAGGCGTGACAGCCACAAAAGCATCTGAAATGGCAGGTGTGGTGCTGAGTGGCGAGACTTCAGGGCCTTGTTGACAATTAAAAAGCGAATGACCAGTGATGTCTGTCTGCTCCTTGAGCCTCATTTTTACCTGGAATGCACTTTGATAACGGACTGTAGCTCAGGTTTCAGACCTAGACTGGATTAGAGTCCAGTTGCTCCAAGGGGCTTTCTTTTTAGTCCATCTGGCTTTGTCAGAGAGGAACACAAATGGTCATCCTGGAAGCTAGCCCTTATTTTAAAATGAGTTTCTGGGAGAGAACAATACTTGTAACAAAACTGTTATGATGTTATAAGGTGATAGGAGAAGGGGGTGAGCACCCTAAAACAAGTAAGTTTTAGAAAACTGCTTAGAAAAACAAGTCCAAGGATAAGAGGGCATTATGTCTGTTTAAAAAAATGGATCAGCTAGCAGACAAGGGGACGTTACAGGGCACACGCAGTCACCGTGCAGCTGGACTAGACTGGCCGTCTTTCCAATAGCGGACAGGATCCTCAAGGACAGTTACAGGAACGAGGAGTTAGAAGAGACGGTGCGGTGTTAGTACAATGTCAGCCCATGGGTCAGTGTTTTTTTTTTGAACAAGCAAAATAATTTTAAAACTGGAGCTTAGGGTAAA